GGGCCTAGACCCCGAAACGTCAGCCTTCCTGCTCCTATGATGCTGCTTGGCCTGCTGTGTTCATCCAGCTCTACACCTTGTTATCTCTTGTTCCTAGCCACGTCGCTTTGGCAGCAGGAACCATACCCAGGAGTAACAATTCTCTGGCAAACCTGCCCTGGTACAGGGCTGCAAAATGTGTTCTTCACTTTGGCAGCCATAGAATCACAAAAGCTGAGTGTGCAGATGGATGCCAGTCGGCCCGTTGTGCCTGCACTAGCTTTTCAGATGACCAATATTACTGAGTGCCAACCTCCTGCTTTTTCGCCATCCCCTTGCATGTTCAGAATCATCCAGTACTCTCTTGAATGCATCTTGAACCGTTTCATATTTGAATTTTTACAACGTATCAAAAATCAAAATAGTTTGAACTGATTTCTCAGGTTTGCCTTTGATGTGAATCTTTACCGTATAAGTAACCCGCTAAAGGTAGAAGCCTTGACAGTTGCACGTTTTTATTTTTAAATGCAGAAATCGTAAAATCTTTCTTTTAACAACAGAGTGGTTAGCTATTCATAGAGTTTAAATCAGCTTGGGAAAATGACCCAAAATCAATTTAGATTAAAATTATTTAATTGGATAGGTGTGAATTTCAGTGCATTGAGAACAGATCTGTCCTGGTAATTTGGAATCAAATTAATGGGAAAACATGTAATTGATTTAATCTATTTTTAAAGACGAGATGGTTTAAGTGTGGCGGAGGGACATTTCCTGAGAGGGAATGGTAGGATAACCAAATTTGGAATTCTCTGGATAACAAAATAGATAAGGAATAACAGAATGAGTAGAAAACAGAGATAGATTATGAATTGAATGTATAACATTTGGAAAGGAAATAAAAAGGAAATAAGAAAGGACCAATGAACAAGTATGAAACAACACTAAAATGGACTGCGAAAGTCTTATATGGTGAAAGGGTAGTAAGAGGAGGGATGGGGCTGATTCGGATCAAAAAGGAGGTCTGCACATGGAACATCAGGGACAAAGTTAATGTCACTTGGACAAACATGAATTAGTAAAGGAAAGCCAGCATGGATTTGTCAAAGGCAAATTGTGTTAACAAACTTTATTGAATTTTGATGAAGGAACAGAATTGATTGATGTCATGTATAATGACTTCATAAAGGTGTTTGAAGTGATGCATAAGATGCCTATTGGCAAAGAAGATGGCATTGAAATAATTGTTGGGTAATGATTGCTCAGTGCAGCTCTGCTTAGCTGAACATTAACCTATGATCAAGCTGCAACATTAAAATATAATAAAAATTTCCGTAATGGAGGGAGAGTTTGATTATGCTTATAAATAAAGTTTGAACATAACTTCCTGTTTGAAGAACAGATGGCTGTCAGTGCTTGGTAACTTCAACTTTTTAAAATGGCAATCTTCTATAAAGAAAGCTGGCCTTTTGAGCTTTTGTACATCATAGAATTCAATTCAGCATGTTAGAACAACAGATTTTCATTGGTAAAATTTCTGCTGATAACATGGAAGGTTTTTCAGCATGTAAACTTTCATCACGAATAAATAAGTAACACATTTAGTTTAGTTGAAAAAGGCTGATGGTGACTTCATTTGAGATCTGTAAATTAAGAAAGTTTTTGATAGACTGGATGTATAAAGACTGCTTACATTTATGGAGACGGGCATAACTAGAGGCCATCAGTATAAGACAGACATTAAGAAATCTAGGAACAAATTCAGAACAAACTTCTTTGGCAAAGCATGATGAGAAGTTGAAACCCTACTACAGTGAACACATGACATAAAATGTGGAAGTATATTAAATCATAAGGAGTGCAGTGAGAGAATTTGAGGCCGTAGACACGCTGGTTGAACGTGCAGACATGATGAAAGCAAATTAATGTAGAAAAGTGCAAAGGGATGCATTTTGGTAAGAAACAGCATTCCCATAATTTTCTTTCTGGCTGCAACTTCCAGAAACAAATGCTGATTGCCATGTGAGAAACCTTTGCAGGGGCTGAGGGAATGTTGGTCGGAAGGGTGATATAACATAATGGGTGAACTTCTAAAGATATGCAGGAAAATGTCATCGAGGGCTATATGTGCTCAAATCGTTGAAAATGGCAGAGCAGGTTCAAAAGTAGTTTTGAAAAAAGGTTTATAGGGTCCTATGCATTCTAAATAGATGCATAGTGTGAAAAAGCAAGTTATGATGAACCTTCGCAAAAAATTGGTTCAGCCTCATAGATTGTGGAAACAGGCCATTCGGCCCATTAGTCCACACTGACCCTCTGAAGAGCATCCCCCTACCCTGTCCCTGTAACCCTGTAATTACCATGGCTAACCCATATATGGGAAATTTAGTACAGCCAATTTACCTAACCTGCACATCTTTGGACTGTGGGAGGAAACCAGAGCACCTGGAGGAAACTCATGCAGACATGGGGAGAATGTGTATACTCCACACAGTCAGTCGCTCGAGACTCAAATCAAACACAGGTCCCTGGCGCTGTGAGGTAGCAGTGCTAACCACTGAGCCACCGTGCTGTTCCAAAAGTTGAGACAGCCGCACAATATTGTCAGGAAGACATGCTTCAAGCAAACACACGTAATGTTTCAATCATCGATGGAGGCTTGACGACTTGGTCAGTATGGGGATTGAACCCATGACCTTGGCATTAATAGCCCCAACTAAAGCATTATGTCCACTTCTGGCGCTGCACTTTCAGAAGGCTGTGAAGACTTCTTAAAAAGCAGAGAAAAATACACAGGTGAACAAGTCTGCAGTTGTTCTCCTTAGAGAAGAAGAGATTGAGTGGAGACTTGATAGGTGTTCAAAATCATGTTGAGTAAACAAAGTAAATAGAGAGAAATTTCCCATTGACAAAAGGCAAGTACATCAAGAAATATTGATTTAAAGTGGTTGGCAAAAGAGCTAAAAGTGACTTGAGGAAAGACCTCTAAGTGCAATGAGTGATTATGAACTGGAATGCAGTGCCTAAAAGGATGGCAGAGCAAATTAAAACTAGCTTTCAAAGATTAAATGCGTGCAGGGGAGAAAATAGAGGGTTACTACTCATTTTCAAGGGATCAAGTACAGTCGTTTTTAAAAGGAGTGAATAACGCTCTGCTCATTGCATTTCACAACACCATAAAAACAACAAAAATATTTGCGATTTTTGAGAGAAATCTGTTCAAAGTTGACATTTTGGCTGAACTGCAGTGTCTACTGGGTTACAGTTCTTTGTTTCTTTACTGTCGTTTCAATGTAAAACGTAACTTTGTTTTAATAGATAAAAGAACAAATTGTTGTCATCGATGAGCTCTCCAACCTTAAGAAAAATCGGGTAAGTCAATGAAACCCAAGTTAATATTTGCAGGAGTTCAGTTCAGGCATAAATATAATGATTGCCTTCAAATTACAGTGTAAGATAAATAAACTTTGCCTTAAAAACGAAAATTACTGATAAGTAAATTTAGAACAGATAGCAGGAAAACTCTCTTCATCGTGTTAAATATTTGGAATAATCTAGCAATCAAGATAATAGAGGCACAGATCTTGGGTTTATCAGAATTAGATGCCGTGATGGTTATAAAAACTCGGACCCAGGTTTGATTTTCAGAATTTGCTGAGGTGGTGGACTGGTTAGTGATCTTCACATGGCTTCAGTAGATGGATTGCGGACAGGGTAAGTTATCCAGAGGTCCCACTCCAGAGCATTAGCCAGTTAGCCTTGCACAGTGTTTTAAACTCAAAGAATGATCCTGAAGGGGCTAATTAGCTCAACATGCCTGTGGCAGCTCCTTGTAAAAGCTATCCAGTGAGTCCCACTTCCATCTTTTTCCATTGTTCTTTTAGTATTTATCCAATTCCATTTTGGAAATTGACACCGAACCTGCTTCAGCCACCCTTTCAGGAAGTGCATGTAGATCAACACTTTACTGTGCAATTCCTTATGTTGCCTCTGGTTCTTTTGCTAATGCCATTAAATCTTTGCCCTCTGGTTAGAAACCATTACCCCACTGGAAGTAGGTTCTTATTTGCTCTTCGTGATTTTGAACACTTCTATGAAGTTTCCTCTTAATCGTCTTAATAGCCTTTCCAAGGTTTGATATCCTTGCCAAAGTGTGTTTAGAATTTGCCACGAGCCCCCAGGTGAGACCTAACTAGTGTTGGATAAACTTCCTTGTTTACTTTTGTACTTGTTACATCTGCTTACAGAATCAAGGATTTTGTCAGTCTTTTTAATAGTCTTCTGAACTGTCTACGCCAGGTTTTCTGTCAAGCACCCCTCTTAAAATTATACACTTTAGTTTGACTGATATCATTCCTAGCAAAATGTATCCCTTCATATTTCTTCATTGTGAATTTCATTTCCCAATTGTCTACCGATTTTACCAATTTTTCGTGTCATCAGCAGACCTTGAAATTATGCCCATTGAGTCTTTCATTTCATAGTTGAGGTTCACTTTTTCAGTGCTTCTGAAGGTGTTTTTTTCCTTTCAACAAAGAATTTAGAGCGAGTGCAGTATTTAGGAAATGCTGAGTAAGAACAACCACCAGGCATATTTCTCTTACTTCTCCACACAGGAGGAAGAGAGAAATTTGTAAGCTAGAAGCTTCTCCTGTATTGTTTAAACATGAGACCAGCCACCTGTCCATGGACAAGTTATGAAGTTGTTACTTTATGTATTTATCAAAAGCTTACATTTATGTTTCCTTTTAATCTCCATACTGTTAGATATTGAGGCAGCTCTGCAGTCTGCAACCAATCAATATTTCATTGCTTATTTACAATTTTACCAGTTAATCTTTAACTGCAGTGCATGTGAACCAGATGCCTTTCCAACTCACCGAAATTAACTCTCTTCCTGAACGTTCTCACATTTGATTTTTCATTGTGCTTTCCAAAACTGTTTCAACTCTAATATTCTTGTGATCACTATTTTCCAAATGATCCCCCGCTGAAAACCTGTTCCACATATTTTCACTTATGTTCCATTCTCCAAACTAGATTCAGTACTGCTTTCTTACAAAGTGATTGTGATTATTTGTATTTTTATTAATAATTTGTTATTCATTCTCTTTCAGAGAGTTTACAAGCAACAGCCCAACAGCAATGTATTTTTCTTAGCAGATCAAACCCAGACTCTGAGTGAATGTAAATGTAAGTTATGTATCTTAAGCGTGTTTGTAAAATGCATTGAGTGTAGTAAGTGGTTCATTTGTTACAACTATGCAGAATGGGTTGAATATTCCTTTGTTACATTTATATTCATGTAACACAAACATTAGATCATCTTTTCCCCTTCCACTTTTAATTTGCCTTCTCCCACTCCTTTAATATGTCCTTTTCCTTTGTGCCACCCCTTCTGAGAGACTAGCTCTCAATCAGTTTTAGTCCTACCTTGAACTGATAATTAAGAGGTCCACAAGAGTAGTTCACAAACATAAGAAATAGAAGCAGGAGTAAGCTTTTTAACCTTTTAAGCCCACATCACCATTCAACAAGATCATGGCTGATTTCTACTGCAACACTATTTTCCTGCTTTGTCCTGCATCCCTTCAAATTTTAAATATGTAGAAATCTATATATATTTAATATATATTTCAAGGAACTGAAACAAAAACCTGTTTTATCACTCATCAGGGCAGTGAAAGCAGTGTCACTGAATATTTAAAAGATAGAGGTGGATACATTCTTGACTCTCTCAGAAGCTAGGAAAGAATGTCGGGTGTAGCCAAGAAAGTAGGTTAAAGTAACAGTCAGATCAACCGTGATCTTATCAAATGACAAGGCTAGCTTGAAGGACCAATTAGCCTATTCCTGTTGACACCTCCTACTTCTCATTTTCTATATTCATTAAACTGAAACTAGTAATAATATAGTTAATAGAAAACTGATCTCATTACAGATTTAAGTTTTAGAACCTATATTGCAATTCTCAAAGGACCAAATAATATACTTAAACATCTAAATATGGGGGACACCCAAGGTAATTATTAAAATATTTGATAGAGTCTCTAATTCTCCTTTTTCATTCAATAAACGCAACAAAACAAGATTATAGGATTTGTGTATTCTTACACCATCTAATTTTGGCGTGAATCTTTTGCCTATAATCTGTTCACAAGGGAGGCAGTGGCCAAGTGGTATTATCACTGAACTGTTATCCAGAGACCCAGGTTCGAATCCCGCCATGGCAGATGGTGGAATTTTAATTCAGTAAAAGTCTGGAAATAAGAAACTAAAGATGACAGTGAATCCATTGTTGTTTGTCAGGAAAAACCCATCTAGTTCACTAATGTCTTTACGGAAGGAAACTGCCATTCCTACCTGATCTGGCCTGCATGTAACTCCAGACCCACAGCAATCTGGTTGACTCTTAGCTATCTTCTGGGCAGTTAGGGATAAGCAATAAATGCTGGCCTAGCCAGCGACACCCTCCACCCATGAATGAATTAAAAAAAACCTTCTCTTAGCGTTAAAAGACAATAAGACAACAGTTTATTTTTCCACAGGCATTTTTACTTATGGAATGTTCACCTTGTTCAAATCTTTAGAAAACTCAAATCAATTTTGTACCTTTTGTATTAAAACTGCTGTGATTGCATTATTTATTTATGTGTTACTTTCTCATAAATTAGATTATATGCCATTCCAAAAGTCTAACAATAACTGTGTACCTTTTACAGGTGCTCTTGATGAGATGAAGAAAGAATACCAGGAATTAGAAAATGCTGAAAAAATTACCAAATAACTAACAGCAAGATCAACATTTGTTATTGATTGAAATTGCTGAGTAAATTGAAACGCACACAAAATGTGTGGTATTTGTTGTATGTTAGTTCTAGCCCCTCAGGAAGGTGTTTCTAGTACTTTGGGAAAAGATACGCTTGAAAGCCTACAACGGAGAGGACCTAACTGCAGTCAACAGTTATCCAAGGAAGTGCCTGAACTGGGCTATAATATATTTTTCTCTGGTCATGTGCTTCATATGAGAGGGTGCCTAAAGCCACAACCCCTGCAGGACACTCAGGGAAACCTTCTCCTTTGGAATGGAGAGGTTTTTGGAGGAATTGAAATTGGCCCCGAAGGCAATGACACTCAGATCATTCTTCAACATTTGTCTTCATGTAAGAATGAAGAATCCATTCTGTCTGTCTTTTCTGCTATTCAAGGACCTTGGACGTTTATATACTACCAAGCATTCAGTCACTGCTTGTGGTTTGGTCGAGACTTTTTTGGTCGGCGTAGTTTACTGTGGCAGTTTAAGAATGCTGGAAATCTCTGTCTTACTCTTACATCGGTGAGTCTGAGTCAGTCTGTTTCCAAGTGTGGAAATATTCCTTGGCAGGAAGTACCAGCATGTGGACTTTACAAAATTGACCTCCAGAAAAACACCAGTGGCAATTCATTGGCAATATCATGGTATCCGTGGAAATATAGGTCCATTGAATATGAATTCAAGACTTTACATTTAGGTGAAGAAGTTCAGTTTATTGAAGAACTACCTAGTTTTGTTTCTGTATTTTTGAATGGATCAAAACTTTTCCCTATAGCACCCATTACTCCAATGAATTACAGTGTGTGTGAGACATGTGTCGCTGCAGATAGTGAAGCATCTTCAGTAAATGTTGAGAGTTTTCTTTCGGATGAAAAGAAGAAGAAATTAGTTCTTCAGTTCATTAATGTTTTGAGTGAATCTGTTAGACGGCGAGTGCTTTTCTTACCAAGATGTCAAATTCACCCCTCATCCCAGTTCACAATTTCTAATAAAGCAAACGTTGCTATTCTGTTTTCTGGCGGTGTTGATTCTATGGTTCTCGCAGCCTTGGCTGACCATCATATTCCACAAGATGAACCTATTGATCTATTGAATGTAGCCTTTAAGCAGCGGAAGACCTCAACAAAGCAAAAGAAGAAAAGCAATGCTGCCAGGGCACCTGAAGAGGAAACTCTACAAGAGGACAATAGTAGTCTTAAAGAGACAACTAGTTTTAATGTGCCTGACCGGATCACTGGACTGTCAGGTTTAAAAGAATTACAAATTATAAACCCTGCCAGAAATTGGAATTTTGTAGAAATCAATATCACATTAGAAGAGCTGAATGAAATGAGACAACAGCGGATTAGTCATTTGGTGCGACCTTTGGACACAGTACTGGATGACAGCATTGGCTGTGCTGTGTGGTTTGCTGCAAGAGGTATTGGTACCAGGATAAGTAATGGAGAAATCCAACCATATATAAGCTGTGCAAAGGTGTGGTATTATCCCTAAAAGAATAATTTTCATCCAGCATTTTGAATGCAAAAATATCTACCTTCATGTATACTCTTTCTTGAAAAAGAAACACACCACATAATTTATTGTTTTGTGTACTGTTTAAGTCATAAGTAGAAAGCAACAAAGATAAGAAACTTCCCTGCATTCAATGATATTGAGGAATTTAGCATTAATTTCAACAAACTAATCCTAAAATGAAATGAGGCCCTCAATTAATCAGACTGACCTAGAAGAAAATGGTTGCTCCCAATGATTTTGTTCAACACTTCACTACTGTTCTTCAAATAGATTTTGTCTTTGATCTGCCCTTAGTAGGGGTTTAGGCAGCTTCAAAGAATTTAAACATTGCTAAAAGACAACATGATGTCAAAGCTTGTTTTGCATTCATCAGGATTATAACATAAGAAAAAGCATAAGATATGGTTGGGTCATCATTGGTATGGAGATGCAGGAGGAACAGTTACTAATCAGTCTTAGTTTTCAGACCCCCCCCCAAGTTTGAAAATGCAGGTGGAATAAAATGTAAATAAGTGGGAAGGTATTCACTTTGGCCAAAAAAATTAGAAACGCTGAAGACTTCTTAAAAGGTGACAGGTTGGGAAGTGTATATGTCCAAAAGAATGAGTGTGCTTGTCCACGAGTCACTGGAAGCTAGCATGAACGTGCAGCAAGCAAATAGAGGGGCAAAAACAGTATGTTGACAATTCATTTTAAGGGAATTTGAGTACAGAAGTAAAGATGTCTTGTTGTATTTACATAGAACCATGGTGAAACCTCACCCAGAGTACTATGTAGTTTTGTTCACCTTATCCAAGGAAGGATAAACTTGTCATAAAGTTTGCCGAACAAATCCTTGGAATGGCAAATTTGTAGTAGTGAAGTAATTGAGGAAACTAGGTCTCCATTCTCCAGAGTTTGAGACTGAGGGTGCTGTCATGAAACTTAAAGTTTATTTTTTTTACAGAGCATGAATGAGTGGAAATAGATAGGATGATTTTCTTGGTTTGTACTTGGAGTTTTAAACAAGCTGTACTTTTTCTTTTCCATCAACTGCCACAACTTCTCTCTATATCCTCTGTCCATTATACTTTCATCAAAACAACATTTGATAATGCTGCAAAAATTGTGAAACCCACATATCTTCACTTTGCATCAGTTTATTAAATGGCTTTCAAAGTTGATCTTATTTTACTGCATCAACAAGCTGCATATTCAGCTATGCTAAAAGATAACCTCAGGTTTAAATTCAATATTTAGTAATTTGAAGTCTCAATATCTAAAATTAAGATGCACCTTTTGGCCTATGTAAATATGGTTTGGTATAAACAGAATTTGCTTTACTATCTAAAGTAATTAAGTCTCTGGAACAGTAGTACATTTTAATTATAGATTCTGGGGTAAAATCTTTATGGATTTTTTGTTTTAAAAAGGTGGTATTGACTGGGATTGGAGCTGATGAACAACTTGCAGGTTATTCTCGTCACCGTGTCTGCTACAAAACATCAGGTTTTGAAGGCCTAGTCAAAGAACTGGGGATGGAACTTGGACGCATTTCCTCACGTAATCTTGGGAGAGATGACCGAGTCATTGGAGACCATGGAAAAGAAGCAAGGTAAGTCTGTGCCAACTTTGAACATGTCGAAATGCAAAAATGTATTATAATTCACTACTGAATGCAAATTTTGTTGTAAACTCAAGAGAAAGCTGAAGTTTAAAATTGAAGATTGAAGACTGTCCATGTACTTTTAACTCAGCAGCAGCAAACGTTACATATGTGGTCTTTGACCTGATGCTAAAAGACTTCCTGCAGTCTAGAGTCAATGTTGAGGACTCCCAGGGCAACTCCCTCACAAATGTATACCTCTGCTAGGTTTGTCCTGCTGTTGGGACATTATTTAGATTTCTGTTGTTGTTTCTGGTGCCTCGGTTGATGCAAAGTGGTTCTTACAAGAGATTTTTTTTTAACAGTGTGATATAATTAAGTGGCTTGCTGGGATATTTCAGAGGGCAGCTGACGAAACCAATGAAATGTGGTTGACTGAGTCACATATAGGCCATCCGTAAAGGACATTAATGAACCAGATGGGGTTTATGATCATTGATAGTTTTGTGGTTATAATTGGTGTTATGACAGAGAAAGCCAAATCAAATCAGCCTCCATATCCCTGTATTTGCAACACAAAGCCCCAAACAATTCCTGATCAACTTTTTGAATAACTGATACCAGGCACCAATACAGTTGAAACAAAATTAATAATTTATTCATAATATAGTCACTTTAACAGAGCAAAGTTAAATCAGGTAATCTAATTAATGTTTGATTTAAACTCTATCTTTTCTTTTAAATTCTAGTCCTCAATCTTACAAAGACAAACAGACACAGTTTAGTAATTAAATCAGAAGTAAAATGAGATGTAACTAGCCAGTTCACTTAAGCAGTCTTCACGATCTGGAAAAATACAGCCACAGGGGCTTGTACCTTGCTTGGTTTCTGACAACACCAATGGTGTTGGACTAGCAGTTGTATACTCTCAATTTTTTCTGGTCTGCAGCTTTGGTTTTTTGAGCAATACAATAGTATTTGACATAACTCAGGTGGATTTCATTCTTAACAGTGCATAAAGCAAAAAAAAAAACAAGATTTTTAAAAAGCTGAGTTGTGGTATAGTTAGTAGATATCATTATACATTTATCCTGTAGCTTCTGACCGTGCTAAAAAGAAAATCTGAGTGGAACAGTTTCATTGAGGCAATCACTGGCATCTCCTATGATTAACAACTGAGGGCACTGATGGCAACCTCGAGTGATAGTGTACATAGCATTTCAGGTTCAGCATAAAGCCAGTTAGGGAGGAAGTGGTAATATAAAAATTATATGAATGGTTAAGGAATTTTATACAAGATACATATGATAAAATTGTTAAACTTTTTAAATCTTTGTCATTTCAGATTTCCCTTTTTGGATGAAGCAGTTGTTTCTTTTCTGAATTCACTTCCTGTGTGGGAGAAAGCAGACTTGACTCTGCCTCGAGGGATTGGCGAAAAATTGCTTCTACGAATGGCTGCAAAAGAACTTGGACTTACAGCATCTGCTGTTCTCCCAAAGAGAGCCATGCAGTTTGGGTCTCGAATTGCAAAGATGGAAAACCACAAAGAAAAGGCTTCTGATAAATGTAACAGGCTGTCGCAAAGCTCGATAGATTAGTCATTGTGCTGTACTTTGCTTTCCCTGAAACTGGCACTGAAAAATAATCAGCTGCCATATTAATGCCAAAACTTAAACCAATCAAAATACAACTGCAGGGGGTGTTCTGTTAGCCTGTTTTTATACGATGTATGTAATTATGCAATTAAATGAGTACTGTATATTGCTGAAGGTCAGATCTCGGAATTACTCATTCTGTAAAGAAATTGCAACTGCATTTCATAATCAATTAATTTGCTTCCCATTCACAGCACCAGCAGATGGTAACTCCTTTAGTGGCTAATCCAACTAATTCAGACAAAAAATAATCTCTCAAAATAAACATACAGAACTGCAGATTTTGGAAATCTGAAACAAACACTGTTCGGTTCTGATGAAGGGTCACTGGACTTGAAATATTAACTGTTTTCTGTCTTTGATGCTGCCAGACAGGAAATAATCAAGTTTTTGGAAATCTGTGTGGTGAACCAAACTGCGTGATTTACCTCAGGATCTCAAACTAATGCAAATCTGTTTCTTAATGCATAGAATCATATAGCATAGAAACAAGCCCTTTGATCTATTATGGCTATGCTGACCAGCAAACACCAAACTACATTAATCCCACTTATCTCTACTTGGTCCACAGCCTACTATGCCCTGGCAGTTTAAGTGGTCATGCAGATGCTTCTTAAATGTTGCAGGAGTATTTGCCTTCACCACCCTCATGTTTCTACCACCGGGTAGGGGAAAAAAAATCCTTCAGATCTCTAAACTACTTATTTCTCACCTTAAAATTATACCCTCTGATCTTAGACACGTCTTCTATGGGGAAAGAGATTCTTACCATGTACTGTGTCTATGCTTCACAATTATACCTCAATCAGACTTCCTCCTCCCCACCCCCACCCTTTTCTGGACTTTGCCTGTTAAATAATGGTAAAAATATATTTCACTCAAGTTTTTTTTCCCAACAAAGATTTAATTTTCACTTGATTTATCTCTGACAAAGGTTACTTAAAATTAGAAAGAAATTTAACTTCTTTGGTTTGACTCAATCCTTGGCTCCAGAATTCCTCAACTCGCTTTAACTTTACAATCTTAAATTGGTAAATTTATTCTTAAAATTACTGATATTGACGCACAGAAGTGTGTAAGCTGTGTAAATGTTATGGCTGCAGTTAATTTTATAATTACAAGATTTAAAAAGCTAGGGATAACAAGGTGTAGAGCTGGATGAACACAGCAGGTCAAGCAGCATCAGAGGAGCAGGAAAACTGACGTTTTGGGCCTAGACCCTTCTTCAAAAATGGGGGAGGGGAAGGGGGTTCTGAAATAAATATGGAGAGAGGGGGAGTGGGATAGAAGATGGATAGAGAAGATAGGTTTACTTTAACATGCTTGACTTCCAACACTTGTAAGTTTATAGTACAGAATGAGACCATTTAAGCTATCATATTCAGGCACTTTTACATCAGTCCAACAAACTGATTTCTCTGTGATGCGCTCTCTGCGTGTGAACTGCAAATATGAGAAAGTTTAACTTCACCATTTTAGTGTTTTTTTTCATGCAGTTGCCATATAAAGACTATAAATAGCTTTATGGGTGTCTTTTAGCTGAATTATTTAAAAAGTTGTTACTTTTTTCATAAAGTAACATTGTTCTGGAATGTTCATGGATATATCCATAATTTCATACATTGTAGCTGTACTTTCATTGATTTATCCTACTAAAATAGAAATTCTTTTTTAAAAAGCAATAATTCAAACCTTAATTCTGTATGCAGGATTAGGAATTAAATGTATGGTTAGAGCTTTTTCTAAATAAAAACATTAACCAGTTTCTCCTTGGAAGACATTAAGAAAAAGTAAAGTACAGATGCTGTACAAGGCTCGTTCTCCAGAGCTCTTAAATCCTTTGAAAAACTGCTAGTTACTTAAATCAATAATTCATTTCTGTGCTTCTGGAAATATGTGGTACAGTCAATATAAGATGGAAGATTTCCAACATCAAACCGGCCACATACTTGATGAACAAACACTGGTTTCCTGCAATAGGAAAAGAAAATCATAGTAGCTAACACAAAAATAAAAGTGAAATAACAGTTCCTTGAAGCAATCTCTCACCTTGAGTAGACCCAATGTAAGAAGTTACCAGGTGCATCCTTCTCTTCCAAGGGTGAATTCTATCGAGAATAAAATGCTTTTGTTAAAGTAGTTGTTAAATAAGCTGGCAAAATGAACACAATTTGCCAAGAAAAATGAGTGAAAGGAAAATAATACACAGGAATCTTTGAATCAATTCGATGAATTTATGCAGGTGGCATGGTATGTTTAAGTTCAGAAATCCCATGGGGAAATCTCATTAAACAAGAGGCCCAGCTTTAATTCATTTATAAGTTGTTCAAAAGCTTTCAATATTGTCCAGCATGATGCTTATAGAAGGCACGTACACAGACAGTGGTGTATCTGTCTTCTATGGCTAATAAGAGATCTGTACAGAAATGCTTCAGAAATAGTTGACAAGAGACATATAAGCCAATTCCAATTTGAGTGAGAGTCGGGCAGAGGCGCCTTCTGTCAACCACGTTGTTTAATGCTGGGGGACAGAGGATGATGAAAACGATCCCAGAAAGATATAGCGGCATCATAGGAGGCAATAGCATAGGGAATCTCTGGTATGTAGACAACATTGCACCAGGCCAAAACAAAACAGCTGGAAACCATGTCAGGCCACAGAAAGGGCAGACATTTTCCCCTCCCCGATGTGGAATGAAAACAATAGAATTCTCGACCTTGGAAAAACCCTGAAAAACTTTTCCCTCCAACCTTCAATGGTGATTTCAGAACTTGATTTGATTTGATTTCTTTATTGTCATGTGTACCTAAGTACAGTGAAAAGCTTTGTTTACAAGCAGTACAGGCAGATCGTAGTCAGCAAGGACATACAGATCATAGGGTGAAAAATAAAACAGGTTACGTCGCACAGGGCATGCACTAGGCAAGATCAACATTAGCAAGATCAGCATTATTTCCTGAGCCACCTGAGGAAGAAGAGGCATTGTTGTGCCTTCTTGACTGTTGCATCAACGTGGGAAGTTCAGGACAGGTTGTAGGTTATCGTCACTCCAGCGAACTTGACACTCTCTCCACTAGAGTCCAATCATCATGGTAATAACAGCCAGGAGGAAGCTGTTCCTGAACCTGCAGGTGCGTGTGTTCAAGCTTCTGTATTTTCTGCTGATGGAAGTTGTTGTAGCAGAGCATTATCAGGGCACGATGGGTCTTTGATGATATTGGCAGCATTTCCACAGCAACGAGCCGTGTAAATAGAATCCGTGGATGAAAGGTGATGGTCTGTGCTGGTCTGGGCAGAGCACACAACCTTCTGTAGTTTGTTAAGGTCCTGGGCACAGCAGTTGCCATACCAGGCTATTATGCACCCCGACAGTATGCTTTCAATGGCACATCTGTAAAAGTTGGTGAGGGTTCTTATGGACATGCCAAATTTCCTGAGCTACCCGAAGAAGAAGAGGCATTGTTGTGCCTTCTTGACCATTGCATCTACATGGGAAGTCCAGGACAGGTTGTCGGTTATTGTCACTCCTAAAAACTTGGTGCTCTCCACCCTCTCAACTTCAGCTCCGTTGATGTAGATGAGAGCGTGTTCTCCTGCATTCTTTCTGAAAAGAATGATCAGTTTTTTAGTTTTGCCAACGTTGAGAGAGAGGTTGTTCTCACTGCATGACATCACCAAGCCCTCTATCTCCTTTCTGTATTCTGACTTGTCGTTGTTAGATATCTGTCCTACCACGGTGGATGAGGTGCAGTTATTGATCCTCACTGACTGCAGCCTGTGGGTCTGAAAGCTGAGGATCCAGTTGAAGAGGGCGGAGCCGAGACCAAGGTCATGGAGTTTTGAAATCAGTCTGGAGGGAATAATGGTGTTGAAGGCAGAGCTGTAGTCAATGAACAGAAGTCTGATGCAGGTGTTCATGTTGTCCAGATGTTCGAGGAATGAGTGCAGGGCTAGGGAAATGGTGTTCACTGTGAACCTGTTGTGTTGGTAGGCAAATTGTAAGGGATCAAGGAAGGCTGGGAGGCTAGAGTTGATGCGGGCCATGACCAGCCTCTCAAAGCACTGCATGATTATGGAGGTCAGAGCCACTGGTAGTCATTAAGGCATGTTGCACGTGCTTTTTTAGGTACTGTGTTGATGGTGGTCTTCTTGAAGCAGGTGGGGACTTTGGCTTGTAGAAGGGAGAGGTTGAAGATGTCAGTGAATACCTTCACCAGTTGGTCTGCACAGGATCTAAGTGCTTGTCCAGGGATTCCGTCTAGGCCCGTTGCTTCATTTTGTATCCCGTAATGTTGTTCAGGTCTTGCCACAGACGGCAGCAGTCTGCTCGGTTGGTTAGGGTCTCTAACTTGGTCCTGTACTGCTTCTTGGTATCCCTGATAGTTTTGCGGAGGTCATACCTGGATTTTCTGTATAGGTCTGAGTTGTTTGACTTGAATGCTTCACGTCTGGTCTTCAGTGAGGAGTTGATTTCCTATTTCATTCAAGGTTTCCAGTTGGGGAACACTTGGATTGACTTCTTTGGCACACAGTCCTTCACACATTTGCTTATGAAGTCCATGATGGTGGTGGCATACTCATCTAAGTTTCCTGCTAAGTACTTGAATACAGTCCAGTTCACCGATTCCAAGCAGTCCTGGATATGGTCTTCTGTTGCCTCAGACCAGCATTGTACTTCTTTTTGCAAAGGGTAATCCCATTTCAGCTTCTGCTTGTAAGCTGGGAGGAGGAAGGCAGCGCTGTAATTGGATTTTCCAAGTGTGGGGAGGGTGATGTCAAAGTATCACCAACACATCTCCTGCCCCACCAGAGGATCAATCATCCTGGACCACTGCTACGCAACCATCAAAGATGCCTACCGCTTCATCATGTGGCACTATAAATTTTGTCTGGGGCCTTCTTCACATCCGCATGGGGAAGTATGTTGACTGCTGACAGGATGGTGGAGGTGAACTCTCACGGCAAACAGTAGGGATGGTGTTTCACTGTAAGGTATTCCAGGTCCCGGGAGCAATGGCTAGCCAGGGTCACCATGTCTGAGCACCAGGTGGTGTTGATTAGGAAGCATAATCCACTGCCCTTTGCCCTACCTGAGGACGCCCATGTGGTCTATGCGATGTACGGAAAACCCATCAGCTTGTAGGGCACAGTCCGAATGGCAGGGATGAGCCAAGTCTCCATGAAGCAGAGCACACAACAGACTCCCAGTTCCCTCTGGAAGGTAAATCTCACCTTTGACTGTTGACTATCTTATTTCCATGCATTTTCATATCACTAATACCCAACTTGCCCTATTTACATTGCACTTCATAAGAAACTAGGTAGTGGAAAAGTGTGTTAGGTAAAACTAAATGGGTATCTGATAGCTGCAGCTTGTCATCTGTCTGTCCTAGACTTCATGCAACTGCTTCTTCTGCGCAATGTCCCTGCATGCTCTATGGCCATGATCTTCGACTATCTGTCCACGCAATTTGGGATCGGCAAACTAGCAGGCTCAACAGATCATCATGCCTGTTCTAGGTCCTACCCAGACACCACCTCAGGTCTTCAACACTTTGAGCTCCTCAGTGACTTAGATGCTTCTGCCAGGACACACTGAGCAGGGACACATGTATCCGTACATGATGTTTTTGCACTGACACACAGATGTGCATTTTATGGTTTATAATTTGCTTGAGGTGATGAGGTAAGTGTCAGCCCTTCAGTGGACATTATTGCTCATACTTAGGATTGGAGAATAGCAGTTAGAGTGAATGCTGGACCTTCAAGTATGGAGTAACACTTAGTGTGGAAAACTGCGCAAGACTTCTTGTGGCACTGCTGAGCATCTACGGTCATTGATCCATGCTGCAAGTTGAGTCCGGGAAGGCGGTGTCTAGTAATGTGGCCTCTTGTGGTGGTCCTTCGTCTGCCTTCTTTAATCTGGTACACTGGTACCAGATGTGTGTTCTGGAACAGTGATCAAGCTAGCTTTTCTTCTGAGACATTTTTTCAATGTTCAGGATCAAGCAGCACAGTGTCACTGGCTTGCAGTGTCTGAAACAGTGTGCAGCTAGGCTTTACATACGATGCCAGAGACGTAGAAACTGCTGGCTCTTACCATTGGGGAGTCTCACCACAACATCTTGCTTGCATAAATAATGAAGTGAAAATTAGGAGATTGCAGAGAAACCGTGACCTGCGTAACGGCATCAGGATACCATGAAACTCGCTCACCACATTATAGTTGCAAATAATAAAACTCAGCCTCAAAGTCTTTTGACCTGAGCATACATGAGGCAATAACCAGCATTATGGCTCTAAATGACAATGGAAAAGTCAAGATTACAAGCACTTAGACAGAGACATTGGACAATTTGAAGCATCTTGGCTCGAAGAGAAAATATCAAAGTTACATCAAAAAATAAAATCTAGGTTAGTTGAGCTATAGAGAAGGCATGACTTAAGTACTGTTTGTAAGTTCAAAAGCATTAGCTTGAAGCTTCAAAACATCATGTACAATCATTAACATGGAATGCTGCGCTCAATTGATGTAGGAGGGTCGAGTCTAAAGAAAAGAGGTTTTGAAATGTGGGTACGGTGCAGGATGCTCAGAATAACCTGGACGGACAAAAGGACATATGGGTAGATGTGATCAAAAGCAGAAGTTTAGAAATCCAAATGTTGCTAAGTACTGTTCGAGAGAGATAGCTAAGCGCAGTCATTGGAATCATAGACGTGACAGCCTGGTCCTGGCAATAACTAAAGGAGAAATTAAGGGTAAAAACAGAAAGTGAAGAAGAAAAATCAGATGGATGAATAACAGTGAGACATGGACTGAGGGTGTCTGAAGAAAACCAGAGAAGTAGATACATTATAGTGACAATGAACAAACAAACAAAAAAAATGCAGTTGTTGAATGTATTAGATCTTCAAGCACTTTGCCAGGCATTTGTTCCAAGAGTATAAATACAGTATCATGTAACTTGTTCATATTACAAGAGTGACTAAATTAATACAATTGAAATAATCTGTGAAGCACTTGAAGCATGCTTTTTGAAAAATGCTATATAATAAAGTTCTGTTTCTATATCAGGATACACCCACGCTTAGAATTCCAAATTAAAGCAGGACATTTAAATACAAAATATTGATCAAATACATACATAATCAATCCATCATCCTCTTGTCTCTTTTGTAGGATTAAGTACTGTAGAAAATTATACGTTGCATAAAATATTTACATTATCCATTAGTAATTAAATGGACCTTGATACAATTATTTATCAATGTGTTAAACGATACATCCTGATGTTTCTACTCCTGGTCCCGTTGTAATAATTTCTAATAAACTGATCAGAGTTTTATTTTTAGCGAAGTTTAGCTTAATACTTACCTGTTTCTCTTGAAGAAATTTTGCAATCAAAGGTATTGTGTTTTTTGAATATATATAGAAGCATGGGCACTGGAAGACAGAAGATTAAGTGGAAATTGAATTCTTAATTTAGATTACTATTTCCTAGTACAATTTGTATTTACAATGTTAAATAGTTTGCCCAAAATAAATCAAATATTGGAAAAAGTTACCTCAGTACAGCAAGATTATGCTTTAGTATAAATGATGCTTTTGAAGACTTTTTATAAAGTAAAAGAATAACTGTATATATGTGTGGTCAAAAAAAAGACAAAGCTAAGGTAAAAATCTTACAGCTCTGCGAGATGTTGTTTCAGTTGAGCGGGGTTTTTCTTTAAATGCAGTTACTTGGAACTTTTCATCAGTTTCTAAAATGCCAAACTTTGTCGTTTCTGCTGAGGGGAAAAGCTATGGTAGATTATTTTCCCCAAAAATCAGTTCAGTAAAGAAAATAACTTTGTAATAAATTATGGATTGACCTTCATCTTTGCAAAGGTAAGACAGAACCAAATTGCTGTCACAATTAATACTCTGCAATTCAGCAAATCGTGCAAGAACAACAGATAGGCTGAAGTCTTCATAGAATAAAGTGTCACTGAAAAAAAATAAGCATTGTCAAAGTAGTAATCAAAACATACAAGACGGTATTAGAACTTCAACAAAGTAAACTAAATTTACCATATTTATCACCTCCACTTTCAATTACAACAACTTTTCCCATTTTCCATCTTGCATAAAATTTCAGTTCATTCTAAATTACACAACCTGTCGCCTAACTAAGCAAATCTAATTCATCACCCAAATCCCTGCTGACCCACAGTGGATCCTGGACACTTTTTGCTCTCCAATCAAAAATACACACATCCACATTTAATTCCCCCTCAGCCTCTCTTTCCTATATCTGAAACCTGGTCCATCTCTACAACTCCCTACTCCCAAAGCTCTAACTCTGGTATTTTATGCACGCAGTAGCTTTAGCCCCATGCTTTGGAATACACCCCAATTAAACCTTTTGGTCTCTTTATCTCTGCCATTCCACTTCCCTGTCCACCTTTAAGACCACTGTCAAAACCTCTCTCTTTGACCAAGTTTCTGCCACCACCGAAATATTTCCTGTGCATTGTTTCATTTTTGGCTGCGCCTCAGAACAATATCCCAAGCGGCTTCAACGTCAAAAGCAATAGAACTGCAACTTAAGAAATCTTTATAAATGATTTGTCCTCCTGAGAGTTATAGATATTTCAATGCAAGTGGTCATTCTGCAAAACTTACCATCCAATTTAAAACTAGCTTATCTTGTACTTTCTACTTTTTTGATTTGATTTGATTTATTGTTGTCACATGTACAGCGTAAGGTACTGTTTTGCGTGCTAACCAGACTAATCATACCTTACATGTCTTAATGTTTTAGTCTTTAACATTTTTTTCTGCAATAACCAATGATAAAACAATTCATATTAAAATGATGCTTTTCCATGACAACAATTCTTTTAATCACTCTTATGCTTTTTTTAAAAAAAATCCTAATTTCAAGCTCTTTGTTGTTAATTCACTAATCAGTGGAAATTTCAATTCATCCCTGACATTCACAAATACACTTAAAAGGAAATTTTAAGGTTTTTCCTTGCTCTGGAAGAAATGGAGTGTAAACTACAGGAGTCATCAGTAGTGGATAAGTTGTTGTAGGGGATTCTAAGAGACAGGATCTACTTGCATTTTGAGAGGCAAGGTCTGATTAGGGATATTCAGCATGGCTTTGTGCCTGGGAAATCATGTCTCACAAACTTGAATGAGTTTTTTTGAGGACGTAATCAAAAAGATTGATGAGGACAGAGCAGGAGATATTATCTACAAAGACTTTAGCAAGGCTTTTGACAAGTTTCGACATTGTAGACTGGTTAGTAAGGTGAGATCACAGAATCCAGGGAGAGTTAGCCAACTGGATACAAAATTGGCTTGAGGGTAGAAGACAGAGCGTGGTGGGACAGAGTTGTTTTTCACACTGGAGGCCTATGACCAGCAGCACACACAAGAATCAGTGCTGGTTCCACTGTTGTTCATCATTTATATAGATGATTTGAACAAGAATATAGGAGGCATGGTTAGTACATTTATGGACGACACCAAAATTGGTGATATAGTGGACGGTGAAGAAGAGTCTGAGGAGTAATTGGATCTTGATCGACTGGTCCAGTCGTCGAGGAATGACAGCCGTGGTTTAATTCAGACAAAAGCGAGGTGTTGCATTTTGCTAAGTCAAACCAGGGCAGATCTTATAATTAATGGTAGGGCCCTGGGGAGTGTTGTCAAACAGAGACACCTAGGGGTACAGGTACGTAGTTCCTTGGAAGTAGCATCACAGATAGGCAGGGTGGTGAAGGCGATGTTTGACACGCTTGCCTTTGTCAGAGAATTGAGTATAGGAGTTGAGACGTCACATAACAGCTGTACAAGACATTGGTAAGGCCATATTTGGGACACTGCATACAATTCTGGTCACACTGCTATAGGAAGGATGTTAATAAAGTGGAAAGGGTGCAAAAAGATTTAAGAGGACATTACTGAAACTGGAAGGTTTAAGTTATGAGGAGAGGCTGGATAGGCTGGGACTTTTTTCCCTTAGAGTGTAAGAGACCAAGAAGTGACATTATAGAGGTTTATAAAATCATGAGGGGCATAGATAATGAAAATAGCCAAGGCCTTTTCCCCAAGGATAGGGGAGTCCAAAACTAGTGGGTACAGTGAGGTGAGAGGGAAAGATTTAAAAGGCACCTGAGGGGCAATGTTTTCCCACAAAGGGTGGTGCATATATGGAATGAACTACCAGAAGAATTGGTAGAGGTGGGTACAATTACAACTTTTAAAAAACATATGGAGAGGTACATGGACAGGAATGTTCCAGAGGAATATGGGCCAAAGCAGGCAAATAGGGCTAGTTCAGTTTAGGAAACCTGGTCAGCATGGATGAGTTGGGCCAAAGGGGTCTGTTTCCATGCTGTATGACTCTCTTTTTTGCATTTCAATGCTGTAATTCAGATTACTGGCAAATGTGACAGCATTAGCAGACCTTGGAAAAACACTTTGCAGCTTTGAAGATTTGTAGGATTAAATGAGAAACAAAATCTGGAAAAGTAGAACAAAATACAGTGAGTTTGGGGAAAGGGAGAATTATATGCTATAGGGCTTAGTGCACTAACTTGTTGGCTGCTTAAAATATGCAGACCAGACATATTGCTTTTTCCACCTTAGTGGAAGAATAAGGAAACTAAAATTAATCCTACGGCCAAGCAAAGATACTTGAAAAGACATAGTAACCATTGATTGTGACACAAAAGATAATGAGAAGAATAAAAACAAATTAAAATGAAAATGACAGATAGACGTGATTATGAATAGCAGTTTATGGGATGCCATTTTAAGCTATACATATAGTAGATATAGGGATAAAGACTAGACAGGTTCTTTAAAGGATAGACTGGGAAGCAACAATATAAAATTGCAACCAGATGAATTGTTCTTTTTTTCTTCTTTCATTTGAATCAATATTACAGGTCAATGCTCATTATTGCACGAGCTATAGAGAAACATATTGAAATGTTTATTTTAAAATTGAATATCCTTTCTATTTATAACTTGTTTTTACCTTACTATACATATATACTGTACATATTAAGCAATTATTACCACTATTCTGTTTAGCCTTTACTATCTATTTAATTATTACTTACCCTCCTAGGATCAATACATGATCATTGATGTTAAACTGAGTAATGGCAAGTTGAAGACAAGCTATAGCACCCAACCGTTCCTGTGGGGAGAAGTAATTTTTGAAACTGTTCAGAATATTGAATTATGGCTTTCACTTTATTTTAAATAACTCAGTCTGTAAAATATAAACTGTTTTATTCTCCAAGTTTTGAATGCATTTAATAAAAAAAAAATTAATAAATTCCCTCGGTGGGACTTTGAGGAAAGTTTTCCTGCACAATAATTTTGGTTGAGGTCTAGCTAAATTCCTTTTAAATTGTTCTTAATCTAAAATTTACAGCTGCTTTATGCAACTATTGCAAGAAACCCAAGTCTACATTACTGATTTAATATCAATAAAATAAACTCCTCCTTTAGCTGACAGGCTTGAAACTATCACATTCAGTTATTTCAGAAATAACACTAAACCACACCATAGTACAGAATCACAAATCAGAAAATAAAACTTAAATTAATAATAGAATATACAAGTGCATTTCAAGGCAGAATCAATGATCTACAATTCAATCTCAGTTTGTTCTTTTCAGATCAAATTATAATCTGTTACAATTTTGTTATGTTCTATCAAGGTGTTACCTGTATACTTGTACGGACCAGGTTTGGAAACTAAAATGAAGTGCAGTGAAGACCTTTTATTAATAAAGAATCTTACTTCAATCACTGCTCATATTCTGTATCCACATTTCCTAACAAATAGACTGAACTTTTACAATGCAATTAAACATAAAAATCTTAATCAGCTGAAATTTAACTTTGTCTGAAAGTTAACTGTAATTTTTACTAATGATCTAACATTACTGAAAATGTTTGTTCGTCTTTATACATTATATATCTAGACTATTGAAGTTCTATCACTTACTTCATTGCTTTTTGTTCCATCATTTAGAACTTTAACTAGTTGAAACTCCTTTGCCCATTCTTCAAACTTCACATAATAAAGATCATTTGTCTGCAAAGATTATTATTAGTTAGCAATTACTAACAATAACCATAAGAATGATACCTTTGTAGTGTCTGCTCATTATGTGTTTTAAAAATCAGTTTTAAATTTGACTTTCTTTTGCACAGAAGAGAAAATAGGCCAGAATTACACAAGTTGAAGTTTCATTCTGTTACTCCCAAACCAACATTTTCCTGTTTATTTGCTTTCTGTTTTGCTGCACTGGTGAATGAGAAAAAATGTCCATCTTTACCACAAAATAAATCAGTATTGATATTAGCATTTGGTATAAACAAACCACAAGGAAAAATTGGTTAATTTCTTTTTCCTCACCTATCCTATGCATCTTTAAATACAAAATCATTGGATTTACAATTTCAATCATGTCAAAAATCATTAATAAAATCTTAAGTTGTTAAAACAAAATCTCTAATTCTAGTGCAGTATTTCAATACCACTATAGAACAGAAGCACCTTTTCTAATTTTTGTTAATAAGATGAAACATGTTATATTCTTCTGAATTAAGTTCCACAACTGTACTGTATGTCTTACTGAAATCTATTACATTCATTTTTACAACATTTTCAAGTTGTGTGTTATCTGCAAACTTTGAAATTACGCCCTAGATAACCAAATCCAGTTCATAACTGTAGCTGAAAGCACTTAACACAATTAAAGCTGTGCATTTTCAAAAGGAAAGATTAAAATGTAAACATACAATAACATAAACTTCATCAATGCTGTCAATCTTGTCCAATGCTGCCATCCAATGACTGATAAGTGCCTTATTTCCTACTGGTAGAAGGGGTTTGGGAATGCCACAGAGATGCTTGAAACGACCGCTGCTATCATTCTGTAGGTCACGATTCAATCTTGTACCATAGCCAGCAGCCAGAATAACAGCCTTCATGTTTTCTGTGCAATCTGCCCTGCTAGAGAAATGTTTTAGATAAAGCTTAACTATTATGTGATGTTGCCAACACATTAAACAATACATATGGATTCTTCCTACTTAAGGAGCACCCCAGGAGTCTATTTTACGTTACTGTTATTGTACACATTGTATTCCATTTTCTGTTTTCTTCTATTTAAGTGGAAAATTAATTTTCCAATGTGTTACTGACCTCTTGATTCACATTGACATTCCATGATTCAGTCATCATACAAGCTAGCCCTGGAGTATCTCTGAAGGGACACACAAGTCATGAACTTATTTCCTAATAGGACTGTGGATGGTACCTACACCAAATAAAATACAGCAGCTCAAGAAACTGATTCACCACCACATTCTCAAGGGAAATTAGTGATGAGCATTAACTGTTGGTCTGTCCAGCGATGCCCACATCCCATTAAAGAATAAATTAAAGATTATATAGTTATTTTTAAAATATTTTTAAAAATCAATAATTGGATTTTTCATAAATAAATGTATATCAATACAAAACTGCTAAATTAAACTGGCATGAGAATATTTTCCAAATCACACAAATTGCTTAACCTTACTGGGCCTTTGATTTCATCAGGTAAATTTTAAAAATCTATATAAAATATTTGTTATCCAGCATGCTTGGGGAATGGATGGTGATGGTCGTCAATCAAAAATGCTGGTTAACCAGAAATACATTACTTTAGACACAATATAAGGTGTTCCAATGTCTTTGAGGGAAAAGGGAAACACCTGGGTAGGCAAATGTTCCAGACAACAGGGCAGCACAATAAAATCCCCACAACTGAAGACCAGAATGACACCACAATTTGCATCCCTACTTTCAGACTGGATTTTTAAAACATCAGGCTGTCAGTTGCCAAGTATACCTTTGTTCAGGCACAATAATCAAAACTGACTCAACATTTTGTTAATTTCAGTGCAAAGTTTAAGAACAACTTCTGCAGATTTACAATCCACTATTTTTGTTATTAGTTTTTTTTTTCGGTCTGAACAATGCAAGTGACCAGTTTATGAAAAGAAAATCCAGCAGTCAGAAATTCTGTTTACTAGAGAATTTTGGTTGGTAGAGTGTCAGATGACACAACGTTTACTGTAGTTTATGAACAGTAAAAACAGTATGAACATTTACATAAGAGGCTTGAGCAAAAAAGTATTAGTCACTGCAAAAAATACATCAACAGGCCATCCTGAAGCATTTGCTGATAGAATCTGCAACCTGGTGACTTCTTGAAACTAATTATCAAAATAACTTTAAAATGTTTGGGTAAAAAATTGAGCAAGGTAATGGCCATTTTTAGGTTGTTTTGAGTTCTATTTGGAATCAAAAACATCATCCAAGGACTGCATTCACACTTCTAACACAAGGTGTGCCAGATGGCATCATGCTAAAGGGCCTAGTGCACTAACTTGTTGGCTGCTTAAAATATGCAGACCAGATATATTGTTAAATCAATCAGCATACAACACTGATTTTATGTCAGTTCCATACTTTAGCTGATGTCGTTTCTTCAGCTTGCATTGCTGTACACTGGTTAACCAGCAGAACAGCCCACCAACACTATATAAAATCATTAAATACTCAGTTTAGGTCCAGGCCGTTTTCTTTCTCGCTGTTGCTATAATTCCATATTTTGGTGCTTTTCACTGTTTTATTGTTTTTCAAAAATCCTTTAGGAAGCAGTGTGGAAGATGCTGAAGTACTTTATTTCTATCTTCAGATCTTCTGCACAAACCCAGGTATGGGTTCACTATTTTGACTAGCCTTTGTGCTGAAATAAAATATGATTGGAAGATTAATCAAAAGTCACATGGAACAGGACAAACTGCTAAAAGGGAAAAGAAGGGGAAAATGGACCTCATTATGGAGATAATGGCAATGATGAAACTGCTGAAGATGGCTGGATCCAGAAAACTACCCTGAAGAACTCCTGCAGAGGTATCCTGGGGCTGACAGGATCGACACCCTACAACCATAACCAACTTCCTTTATTGAAAGCTTATCTCATCTCATTTTCCACTTGGGGACCTTGTAGCCTTCCAGACTCAATACTGTGTTTTAGAACCTGACCACCTCCTTCCATGGTATGCTTTCTCCCTGGTATGCTGATCCATCCTTTTGACATCCAACAGTTGTTCTGTCTCTGGGCTTCATCTCTGCCTATCCGTTTACTCCATCCCCCACCCTGCCTTCAGTATATAGACGACCTCTTCCTAACTATTACCAGTTCTGAAGAAGTGTTACTCAACTCTAAATGTTAACTCTGCTTTCTCTCCACTGATGCTGCCAGACCTGCTGGGTTTCTCCAGCAATTTCTGTTTTTGTTTCAGATTTCCAACATCTGCAATTCTTTGCTTTATTCCTTTGTATCATGTAAGACTTCAATAAGTGAAGAGTTTTGGACCGATTCCCAATAATTTCAACGTTGTTAGGTTCCTTGAGCCCTTACTCAGATAAAGACTACCCTAATGTCAAAGGCAGTCACTCTCACTTTACATCTGGCGATCAGTTCTTTAGTCCATGTTTGAGCCAAGACTGTAGTTAGGCTTGGAACAAATTAGTCCTGACAGAAGCCAAATTGAGCATCAGTGAGTACATTATTGCTGATTAAATGCTGCTTGTTAGTACCTTTCATTGGTTTTGAATTTTTTTTTCTTTATTCATTCACGGGATGAGGGCGGTGCTTTTAGGTAACGTTTATTGCCCATCCTAGTTGCCCAGAGGACAGTTGAGAGTCAACTACATTGCTGTGGGTGTGGAGTCACATTTGGGCCAGACCAGGTAAGGATGGCAGTTTCCTTCCCTAAAGACCGTTAGTGAACCAGATGGGTTTGTCCAACAATCAGCAACGAATTCATGGTTATCACTAGATTCCTAATTTCAGATTTCTTTTATTGAATTCGAATTCCACCATCTGTCGTGGTGGGATTCGAACCCAGAATGTTATCTTGGTTTCTGGATTAACACTCCAGTTATAATACCACTAGGTATTTGAATGACTCAGTTGGTAGCACTCTTGCCTGAGTCAGAAGATACTCGGTTCAAGTTCTGCCCCAGAACGATAGCACAAAAATTAAGCTCACACATCAATACAGCACTAAACAAACATGGCGCAATGAAAAGTAAAAATCAGAAATTGCTGGTAAAACCCAGGAGTCTGGCGGCATTTATGGAGAGAAAGCAGAGTTAATGTTTCGAGTCCGGTGACCCTTCTTCAGAATAGAATAGTGTAACAATATAATTAAAAATAATGTTTATATACAATGTTATCCTCCATATGCCATACAATGAGAAGTGCTGTCTTTCAAATGAGTACAAAACTGAAACAAAAAGAGAAATTGCAAGAATGCATTTTGAGGAAGGGCACTGGACCTGAAACATTAAATCTGATTTCTCTCCACGGATGCTGCCAGACCTGCTGAGCCTTTCCTGCAATTTCTGTTTTCGTTTCTGATTTTCAGCATCCGCCGTTCCTTCGGTTTTTATCGAGTACCAAACTGAAACGGTGTCTGCACTTTCAGGTGGATGTTAAAGATTCCATCTCATTATTTCAAAGAGTAAGGGAGCTAGCTATTCTTGGTGTTGTGGAGAAAATCTCTCAACTAATATCAGGAACGCTGATTTTTTGGGCATTAAGCACATTGCAGTTTGTGGGAACTTGCCGTGCACATTTTGGCTGCCTTATTTCCCACATTAAAAAGTGACTGCACTTCAAAAGGCTTTGAGACGTATTTTCACAAAAAAAAAGCCATTTAAAGGCAAGTTTGAGGCGGCACTAATTGGCCAGATTGGATTTAAGCTGCTTTTTGTGAGCAGGTCATACTTTAGCAATTTGACTGATACCGGTGTGCTGTTCTGAAGTAGTTTGCCTGGGTTGTCACCGGTTCTGGAGCAGAAATTTAAGAACTGCAGCCTTGGTAGTTTCTACAGTGTTAGGCCATTTCTGGTTATCGCTTCGAAGCTTTAATCAAATTGGCAGATGAAGACTAGTACTTGGGACGGCGCAGAACTCACCAGGAGGCCGCAATGGACAATGCTGCCCAGGGGAAAGGCTTGAGGACAAGGCAGAGTGCCTTGATAACATACATGGAGGGGACATAAAACAGCAGGGAGGCTGAGTGAGGAGATGGGGCTGGGGGAAGGCCCTGCCAGGCTGGAGCCAAGGACTAACACCGAGACCGGCAGGAAGCCAATTAGAAATCGACACTCGGGGCTTAGTTATGCCTGTCTCCAGGGTCCAACACCACCGTTTTAAATTAAATTTAAATCCAAAACAGACAGTTTACCTTCCACCGTCCAGCACCTTTCACTGGAACTCACGGCGACCCAGACCCCGCCCACAGGACCCAGGTCCCACCAGAGGCCCAGTGGCCCCGCCCACTGGACCGTGGTCCTCTCCGTTGCTCAATGGCCTCGCCCACACGACCCGGGCCCCGCCCATTGGACCGTTCCAGTCCGTTGCCCAATGGCCCCGCCCACACGGCCCGGGCCCCGCCCACTGGACCGTGGTCCGGTCCGTTGCCCAATAGCCCCGCCCACACGACCTGGGCCCCGCTCACTGGACCGTGGTCCGGTCTGTTGCCCAATGGCCCCGCCCACACGACCCGGGCCCCGCCCACTGGACGGGGCGTGGTATTGAAACCGGAAGCTGAAGCGGGTTGGTATGGCCCCAGAGGTTCGTGGTTAGTCGGTTGGTTGTCATGGAGACGGCGTTCTGTCTCAGTGGATCGGGGGAGGAACGAACAAGAGGAGAGAGGAGATCAGGTGCATCAGTCAACAACATCGCGATCCCTAGACAGAGGTGCTGCAACTTTGTAGTTTACCATTCTGGGCGACAGTCTCAATTTCATGGTAACTGTAGCACCTTCAGCATCAAGTTTTCAGTTTCAGTAAAACATTACGCCATCTTCGGCAAAATTCTACCCACCTCAGTCACAGTTTGTTAACTTCAGTGACCTTATGCCTACTTAAATAGCACAGACCCAACTGCACTAGTTCTCTACCAACTCACCAATTTCAAACCTCACCAATTCTTTACTACTCCAGCGCTATTACTTCTCAGAAATGTTCTACCAGCTGCAGTCACACTCCAGTCAACTAAACAGAGTTCCATCAAACGCAGTGATGTACTCCAGAGCAGTACTCTAGAAGTCTCACCGATACTTCACCCCATTAGAACTCGGAGAGCACTGCAATATTTTGCCAACTTCAATGGAAACCTTAGCAAATTCAGTTTCAATAGCATAAAGTCAAAAGCATCTCTAGCAACATTGGTACCAACCCAGGAGATATAATTTCAAATGTAGCAGCCAAGGTAAAACATGTGCCATGCTCATGTTGACATCAACTTGTGTTCCACTTTCAACTTTGAGTACAGTGATTGAAGCTGTATGCTTTTATTTCTCCATATATTTAGATATATGCTACTATGTCATACCGACTGACTCAACATAGAATATTGACTATTACTGTTTGCTGAACAAAGCAAGGATTTTATCCTCCAAATCCAAGATATAAACATCATTGGTTTGCATTAGTTATGGTAGTACCGTGAAAACAGAATAAAGGTTTTTTCACTCCCCCACCCCAGAACTAGTTCTGCTCAGTCCATCTCCAACTATCTGGCTACAGAAACCATTGCAGCTTCTACATTCTGACTTCAGGTTCTCAACCCCTTTACTTCAGAAACAGAAATCTTGATGCCAGCCAGGCCTGCTATATAAGATACTGATTTTTTTTTGTTTCACTTTTATAAATATTTTTTATCTGTACCTACATTTAATCTTTGTATATCTATTTTAAGCTAATAACTTTATGACTTTTATTGAAATTACTTACAGCAGTAGATGTGCAATAAGCTAATTTTCATTTTTTTAAGACCGAAGCTTTGCTAAATTGGAATGCTTGGGAACTTAAAAGTGGCTAAAAGTTGTTATACATATTTGCAATTCCTGCACTTCTCTGCAAACATATCTGGTGTGACTATGACGTTCTGCTAAGGGAGCAGCCAAGTGCTAAATTAAAAGGCAGAAACTTAAATATAATAATCTCTGGACTATGGGCAATTTGGCAGACGGTAAATAAGACAAGAGAGCTGAAAGCATAGCTCAAAGATTGCTGTGGGAGAAATGGATATTAAATCATTAACACTGGGAAAGAAGAAGCATGTTGTTCACACTGTGTTTTCACCTGAAATGTACCAGGGCTAGTGTCCGGGTGAATTAAAAATCTAGTACTGTAAACGAGAACCTTAAGCTAGGATGGAGTTGGGGGAATGGAGGGGAGGAGGTTTTATATTAGGGGAGATTTGGAAAATTAGAGAATATGTGCAAAGCAGTAATGAACAGCAGCAACATGGGCGTGATGACCAGAGTGTGACAGGAAGGCACAGCATAAAACATAAGAATATATTCGGAAATAAGGTCAGAATAGGAAAAAGTGTTAAAAGAAGATTTTAAAATTATTTATCTAAATGCTTTCAATATTCAAATAGAAGATTCATGATTGATAGAACAAATTGAAATTTGCATGTGGCTGGTAGCCATGAAGCATGCATTGAAATGTTGGTGCTTGGTGCCAACATGAAGATCCTTTCCAACAAGTGATGAGCTGTAGTTGTTAGGTCCCATTCTGACTTCTTGGTTGAGAATTCTCAGTGTCTAGTTTGCACAGTGTGTGATAGGATAGGAAGGAAGGATACGGACAGCACAGTGGCTCAGTGGGTAGGACTGCTGCATCACAGCACCAGGAACCCGGGTTCCATTCCACCCTCGGGTGATTGTCTGTGTGGAGTTTGCACATTCTCCCTGTGTCTGCGTGGGTTTCGTCCGGGTGCTCCAGTTTCCTCCCACAGTCCGAAGATGTGCAGGTAAGGTGAATTGGCCATGTTGAATTGCTCATAGTGTTCAGGGTGGATTACAGGGCGATGGGTCTGGGTGGGATGCTCTGAGGTTTGGTGTGGACCTGTTGGGCCGAAGGACCTGTTTCCACACTATAGGGATTCTATCTATCTACCTAAGCTACATATTAATGAAGCAAGATTTGCAGTTAATAGATCATTAACAACCAATCATCTCCAATATTAGCAACAATCACGCCTCAACACCAGAACTTGGTTAAAAGATGCAGCCAATTGATTCTGATGTTGTGATAGACCTTGCTGCATTTCTTGTGTGATTTTGCCACATTTCTCACCGTAGCCTGTGTCATTCATGTCCCCATAAGGTTCACGCTTCTCTGCTTTTTCTCAGTTTTCCATTATAAATTCTCCTGTCTCTGCCTGTAATGGACCAATATTTGTCTTTGCTAATCTTTTCATTTTTACATACCTGTAGAATCATTCACAATCCTTGCTGTTTACACTCATAATCTATTTTCTCTTTTGTTATAAATTTCTTGGTCCTCCTTTTCTAGTTCTAAAGTTCTCCAAATCCTCAGGCACAACCATTTCTTTTTCATAACTTTGTAAGCTTTCCTCTTTGATCTAATCCTATCTTTTAACTTCCCTTGTTAGCCACAGCTGTCTCACTTTGCTTGCTGGGTAATTTTGACTTAAGGAATGCATGTTTTTATTTGAAAAATGAGCATTAATTCTTTAAAAACTGGCCATTGTCTATCTAGTATTAAATGTTTTAATGTATTTTTCCAACCTACCGTAACCACCTTCCTCCTCATACCTTCATAATTGCTCATTTAGATTTAAGATCCTAGTTTTAGATTGTCCTACATCTTTTTCAAACTTAATTGAAATCTCTATCATGCCACATTCACTTTTCCCTAAAGCTTATTTTACAACAAGCTTATTAATTAGCCCTTTCTTATCTCATAATACTTCATCTAACATAGTCTGCCCTTGTTGGTTCCTCAACATATTACTCCAGAAAATCATCTTGAACACATTGAATTTTTCCTTCTCAACATTGGTGCTTATTAAATTTCCCCAATTTTTCTGTAGATTAAAGTCATCCATGATTGCTGCATTTCCCCATGGTGCGTGCTCCTTTAACTTCCTGATTTATACCATGTTCTACATTACCACAATTGTTTGTGGCCTACAAGCCATTCCTGTTTCTTACTTCCACCTGAAATGATTCTCCTTCTTGGTCTTCCACTCAGAGATCCTCTCTTACTATTGCACTGATCCTGTTCCTTATTACTAGACTTTCCCAGCTTCTTTTCCTTTTTGTCTATCCTTCCTGAATGTTGAATATCTTTTAATACTTTCGAAGTGTTTCATGACACCAACAGCACAATGATAAATTCTGACCACATGCTCACCTCCATTCTTTTTTACAGCTTCTGCATGTGTATGTACATGATACATAAAGCCGATTTTTTAAAACTTAAAAAAATTGACTTTGTTTAAATATTTTTCTCTTCAACAATAATCTTTTTCATTAATCTTTTTACATTTTTATGTGTTATTGGGTTTTTAACACTATTTAGAATTAATTCCGAGACTTCGATTCTACCGCCCAAGTGTGCAGTACTGCCCATGAGTGCACCATAGTGAAAACAATCTTTGTTCCAGTTCTAGATATCTTTTAATCAGCCTGTTCAGAGATGTTATGACATGTCTATGGAGCAGGTGGAACTTGAACCTGGGCCTCCTGCTCGACGTAGTGAAACTACCACTACAACACAAAAGCCTCTTATTCTGTTCCCATTTGATTTTTTTTTCATATCCATAAGTGCTCTTACACACAACTGAACTCTTCTTCAGTTCTAAAACCCATTGTTCAAGTCTTTGCAGCTGGAGACTCATGTCCTGCACAACATTTAGGTGACAGGAAATGTCTACAAATCTCCATATGGCTTAGGATGTGCACTTCATATGACCAAGCTGTCCTGATATGCCTGTAGCTAAAATCTTTTTAATTCCTTATCTCTTGTTGTTCATATCAAAGAAGGCGTAATATAATTTACTTTCATGATTAACAACATAATTGGTTTAGGAAATGCTTTATAAACATTACAAGAAAATAAAATGTTTTACTACCAATGCACTAAAACTGGACTGTTACTTTGTAGGAGGAAGTTGGTGGAAAATGAAGACTTGCTAACCTGCATTTCTCTAGAAACCTAAAACACACCAACCAGAATGGCAGGGCAAATGAGTGCAAGTGCTGTCCTTGGCAAATATAACTTAAGTGATCTACAGGAATTGCTCACCATAACTTCCTGTACATGGTTGCAGCCCACTGATAAGTTTCACCTTCCAATAGAGTACCCTACTGGACTCTCGAGCCAAATGAAAGACTTCAGTTATTCCAATGCTGTAATTCTAACTCCTATGGCACCAGGTGCTCCATTGAATTACAAAGAAGTTCAACAAATTTTGCGAGAATTGGTGATAGGTATTTATATTCTAAACCAAGTTCCAACTATTTATTTAGATGGCAACTACGATTGTAGTACTGCATGTCTCCTGTCGCCAGCCTATCATGATACACTAATTGGGCAAATTTTGATAAATGTGGACTACACTATGAAAGCACTTTGGCATGGAGCCTACATGCCAACTGAAAAAAGAAAACGATTTTCAGAAATATGGCGTGCTAATCTGGAAATCAATGTTGATGGAACTTCAAAATTAGGGGCAGATATACCTTCTGAATTCCTTAAAGCAGGTACAGTTCTGAGATATTATACTTGTTAAATAAATTGATTTTTGTTAAACAGCACTAAGTTTTGTGTTGTAGGTAGATATAGACTGCTATTGATACCTCTGAAGAAAAAATATAAAAAGTGAGCAATATTAAAACTAACAAATAGTTGCAGCTAGGCTGCAGGTCTTGATGTTGGGACCATTCAGGCACATGCAAGCTTCTATCTGCCAGTCAATTTATAGCAAAGTGACATAGGTCCCGAACAGTGAGAATGCAGAGGCAACATCAGGTAATAGCATTGCAAATGCTGATGCAATTTGTAAAATGTTATCCACCCTTTATTAATAGAGACAGCCTGCTTAGAATCCCAAGAATTTAAAGAAAAACTGTATCACAAAGACAGAAGGAAGACAAAGGTGACCCCATGGCTTTGTAGGCTTTTATCAAGGCTGCAAGGGCAAAGCCGGAGATTTTATTTCCTAGGGATAAAACAAGGAAGAGGAAGCTAAGATAACAAGGTGTAGAGCTGGATGAACACAGCAGGCCAGGCAGCATCAGAGGAGCAGGAAAGCTGACGTTTCAGGTCTGGACCGTCCTTCAGAAAAGGGTCTGAAGAAAGGTCCAGACCCGAAACGTCAGCTTTCCTGCTCCTCTGATGCTGCCTGGCCTCCTGTGTTCATCCAGCTCTACACCTTGTTATCTCATATTCCAGCATCGGCAGTTCCTACTATCTCTGAAGAGGAAACTGATCAAGCAAGTCTAGAAAGAGTTTGTAGAGTAAGTCAGTAGCCATGGAAGCACCCCCGACCATAGAAATGGTGCCACAAGCGTAATTGGACAAGTACAGCAGCATGTGGTTAAATTCAGACACATCGCACTTCATACTAACAATTGCTTGGAACAGAGCAATGGGAAGCCCATGACCCTTTAATCTGCATGTCCACTCATGCCAAAGGGCAAAAAGCTAGAGAGACGTGGGGACACAAACACCCTCTCAAGAGTAGCAGGAAGCCTTAGAGGATGCACTATCACATCACCAGCCCATAAATACTACCTCACTTCAGTGGGTATCTATTTACATATATTTGCAGACAAAGTAGGAGGATCTTGACTGTGACAGCCACTGAGTTGGAGGACCAAACTTCAGGTAGATGACACCATTGCATACACTTAGTTGTAGCATGAGGGAAAGGAACATCTGGCACTGAATGCCACAGGTGTGCATGAACCCATATGTCATCACCTTGTCCAGGAGCTTTAGGGAATAGTGAAAGGTGAGAGCAGGAGAAGGCATCTGCAATCTCCCAGCCCTCATTTCCTAAATCAGCAGGGAAATAAGTCCATCTTCCATGGGAGAAGGTGCAGCTGAATTCTGTATCTGAGTCGTCTGTCAGGCTATCCTGCTGTTGACATCAGACCCTGAGCTCTTCTGCCATAAAATCCGCACATTGAGAAACCATGATCACTGGAGCCCCTCAGAATGCCATGACCCTCCAGGATTTAGACAGCACAGGAAGGCCATCAAGATTATTCAACATGGGGCAGCTCCACCACAACTACAAATAAATGGGACCACCGTGCAGGATCATCCACAAAAGATTTAAGAAGAGGATTCAGCTGCCCTAGGGGTCATGGCTGATGCAGTATTTAAATTTTAAGGGTTGTACCTGTTGTGCTGCTTAATAAAGGAAAGACCTAAGCTCCAGATGTGGGAGCCAGGGCACCTTTGAACACCCTCACTTTATATTCCAAAGGGTGTTATCCAGTCTGGTTGACTCTGTAGCTCCAGTAGATCACTCAGAATGCCTGGAACACACATTTTTCCCTTCTAAGGCATACATCTGTCAGGGAGAAACATCTAAGGACAATGTCCATGCTTTCAAAGTGCTTCTTATTGGTCTTCCCTGTTATTAGCACATCATGCAAATAAATGGCGACATGGGGTAGACTTTATAAAATGTTCTTCATCATCCACTGAAAAATTGCATAGCCTGATGACACCTCAGATGGCAGTCTCGTATACTGGTACAAACCCTTAAAGGTATTAATTGTAGCATACTTCTGGGAACCCTCATCTAACTGTAATTGCAATGATGCATGGCTTATATCCAGTTTTGTGAAGGACAGCCCATTTGCCAGCTTTGCGTATAAATCCTCTTTGCAAGTGATTGGATATTTATCCAGCTGCTAAAAGCGGTTTACCATTTGTTTAAAACCCCCACAAAGGTGAACCGATTTGTCTGGCTTCACAATCTGTATGATCGGTGCTGCCCATTCTGCAAATTGGACTGGTTCGATGTTTCCTTCGCTTTCCAGCCTTCTGATTTCTGCATCTACTATTGCTTGGGAGGCAAATGGCTCTGGGCGGGCCTTGCAGAATTGTGGAATTGCTTCTTGGTTAACATGCAAGATAGCCTTGGATCCTTTGATAGACCCTAGACCTTCCTGAAAAATGTCTGGGTATTTAATTAGAGCTTTACTCAGGCAGCCATTTTCTAATCAAAAAATGTTGAGCTAATCAAGTTTAATCTTCTCAACCAATTTTGCCCCATCAATCTTGAGCCCGAGCCTTTTTCTACAATCAGTGGTAACTGAAACAGCTGTTTCTCATAAGAGACCGTAACTGAAGTTGTACCCTTAATCTGTAAAGGTTCCCTGGCATAGCTTCTTAGTCTAGCCGAGCTCTTGCAAAACATAAGGGTTGGAGCCCAGAATGAATTTTGTTGAAGATTGGTCCTGTGATAGCTGAAACAGCCACACCGATATTGACCTCCATTAGAACCAGGTGACCCAAAACGTTGATTGCTCCTTTCCTCCAGATGCTGCCTGGCTTGCTGTGCTCTTCCAGCCTCCTGTTTGTCTACCTTGGATTCCAGCATCTGCAGTTTTTTTCATCTCTGACCATTCAACCAGCCATTTATTTTGATTGGTTCTGATATTGATGTTGCTAAGCAATTTAACTGTTTCAAATCAGATGTAGGTGGGATTTTCAGTCTTCAAAGGCAGGATTGAACGAGTCAAGCTTCTCAAATAACGGCATGATCCCAGAAATGCTTCCCCTAACTCAAAGATGATTGTTGCGAGTGAATTTCTCCAGGAGAGTGCTTTTCTCTCATTATCACTGAAATGACTCCACAGGGGCCAGTATCCCATCACCAAGTCATCCTTTGTTTACACATAGAGAGTCCTTGACACTGATCTAGATCTTAGAATAAATAGGATATCTAACACTCCTGTACTTATCTGTTAGCCAGGGCTCCCTGATTGGACCAGATTAATAGCCCCAATCAACCCAAAATGTTAACTCTGTTTTTTCCCTCACAGATGCAGCCAGACCTGCTGAGCTTTTCCAGCAACTTTGTTTTTGTTCCTGAGTTACAGCATCCGTAGTTCTTTCAGTTTTTAACTCATATTCTATGATGTCCACCTGGCTGACCTCATTACAATCATTACACCCATGAGGTTTGTCATCCAAAGGCTGCCTCCAGGCAGCTGTACAGATTTCCTATCTTCCATGCACCTGAAGGCTAATTGAAAATTTCCATTTGGCCTCTAACAAGAAGCCCCTATAAACCTTTAATTTGTTCAGTTGGAGGGATGGAGCTGCTGGGGAATTGCACATTGACTGCCAGTTCTAACTTTTGCACTTGTCCATCTCCATTCCTTGCCTTAGGGATGCAGCGTATTTGATAATTACAGTGGATGGTCGCTTTAAAAGTCAGATCACATGACATGATGACATCATCAGCCATTTTGGGTGGAAAACCATTTATTCTTACCTTGGTGCCTGCAGAGTGAACACTTCCTTAATAAAGCTGTTGTTGTTAGTTAACACTTCAGCCTCCTTGTCCTTCTTGGAATGTAACACAAGAAGAAAACTGGGGGCAAGGTTGGGATATACTTCAAGATCCACTGGGTGAATCCACTGCTTTGTCGGAACAAAAATAGAATCATGGTCCTCATTGCAGATCTGGGAGGCACATCATTATAAAGAAGAAAATAAATCAAAACACACTGTTGTAAAAAGAAAAATAATTCACCAAAGGAAGAGGCGAACAGTGCGGAAGAAACGCACCATTTGCTCCACCCTGAAGGAACACTGAATAAACGAGTACCCTGCAAAGAGAGCAATGTTTTGAACAGGGGTATACACTTGAGTAGAAACAGGTAGCCTCAGAAATATCTTGTTTTAAAAGGAAAGAAGCAAGGTAGCGCTAAAACATTTATGGTACTTTCTGCTGTGCAGGCCCTTCCTATTAAAAAGAAAATCACAGAAATTCTGGCTCCCATTGGATTGTACGAGGAACAAACATGAACAACGTACAGCAAAAGGACAGAAAGCAAAGAGTGGGAAGAAAATCTACATGGTACAAAAGGGGTAGAGTAAAGTCCCGCCTCACTGTCCAAAGAGGGGCTATTATTAAACATACTGGTCATTGCTGGTGTCACCAATCCAGACCTGGTCACTCCTTTACTGAATGGCAAGATGAGAAGAATAGAGGTGAGCATTTGATTGGCAGTTTCATTGATACCTAAAATGGTGTATCAAAAGCAGCTGAGTCACATTGCATTGCAGACCTCAAAAATTGCCCTAAGACTGTGCATAGGCAAAGTGGTGCCTTTAAGGGATTGTATCAATGTGAATGTTCAGTTACACGGTCAGTCTGAAGATTTGTCCTTACAAATTATCAAAGGGCATCTTCGAAATTTATTAGAAGAACATGGTTAGAGAAAATCAAATTCAATTGGGCTGAAGTAAATTTCTTGTCAGGTTCTGAGACTGATCTATCACAAATTCTGAAGAAAGGTGCCATTGTTTTCAATGGGGATCTGTGAAGTATGGAAAAGATGTCTGTCAAATTCATAATCAAAGATGAGAATCAAGCAAAATGTCACATGCAATCAGACCAAAGATTGAGGCAGAATTTCAGAGGCAGGTCAAACAGAAGTGCCCAAACCATAAAGGTGAGTGATTAGGCCACATCTGTCATCAGCAGTAAAGAAATATGGATCGATATGCATTAGCAATGGCTTTAAGGTCGTTATTAATATGGTATAGTGTACTGAACAGTATTCTTTGACTTTAAGCAATGACTTATCTGTTGGACTAGCTGAAGGTCCACTTTTCGGTAAAATTGACCGTGGTCGAGCTTATCTCCAGAGGAATGCAGATTCTGAATCACAGAAATATTTAATGATTGTAACACGTAAAGGACTATTCAAATACAAGAGACATCCATTTGGAACCGCATCTGCACGTGCATTATTCCAACGTGGCAAACATCTGATTTAAGTGGATTGACAGGGGTCCAGTGTTACTCAGATAATATTTCACTTATGGGGAGAAATGAGAAACAGCATCTGCACAATTTGGATGCTACTCTCCAGAGACTTGAAGGTTACGAGTAAGAGTGAGGAAATCTTCCCTCAAAGATTTATTATCTGTTATTGAAGCTAAGGGACTACTCAAATCACCTTCAAAAGTAAGAGCCATAACTGAGGCACCAGCAATTACAATCATTTCTCAGCATGCTAAATTATTGTGGGCAGACAAGTTAAGAAGTATACTAGAAATGATCAACTTCTATCAAAAGTGATGGACATGGAATTTTGTGGCAAAATCACAGGAGCAACCCAGAACTGAGCCAATTTTTGTTAGCATAACAGAATCCAACCTATTCAACTACTCAAAGTTCAGTTGTGCAAGGCATGTGTTTTGCTAAAACCACCCATTGTTGACAGGAAACAACAGAACCGGGTTTCCCAATGGGAAAACAAGGCCAAACACCATGTTTTCCAATTGGCGAGAATTAGGTACCAGCCATCACTGTAGCACTGACTGAATCAGCCTTCTACAATGTACAGAAGAGGGATTATGTATGTGCAGAAGAAATGTAGATCAACTCTTGTCAACCAGAACAAATGAGCCAGAGACAGCATTAATGGAAGATCCACAAATAACTGTACCAAATAGAGACCTTGATATACCTGATGATAGGTCAGTCACTGGAGCATGTGAGGGAAACAGCAGTTCAATGGAGAACACCACAACATTGTGCGAACTTCCGTAAATTCACTCATGTCAGGAAAAGACAACAGATGATTTTCCTAGTACACTTACAACTCCAGAAGTTAACACCAACGAGAAAAATAAACAGATGCCTGAGGTTTGTTGACAACTGAACAGGAATTGACTTCCTCTGGAACATATTACTCAATGACATTTTTATATATGCTTAGAAATATTGTGAATGATTTCAATGCAGGAACCTCTGATGTAGAGGGAGAGGGATGTCATATATTTGATAAGTATGGTGAACTGTCACTTTAAGAGTCCAGTCACCTGATGTCATGATTGTGGATGTAACCGCTTAGCCTAACCTCTCTGTCAACAGAGTGAACACACCTTTATTAAAGCAGCTGCTGTTGTTTAACACTTCAGTCTCCCTTTTTGGAACGTAACAAGGGAGGCTAAAAATCCTCCTCCCAACCTGCAGTAGAAAATCTCAACATAGAGCAGTGATTGCTCAGTGTAGGAAATTGAAAAAAATGTGATAGTAGCATTCTTGTGACCTGAACCAGAGTGAAGGGACATTTATTTTGCATCTAACCTAATGTTTCAATCTTGATGAAATTTAAGATATTTTTGTGCCAATGCCATGTAAAGGTCAAATATGTATTAAATATAAAGTACAATAGAAAATAATGGCTATTTCTAACCTTCAGTACACATGAGTTTAATAATATAAATTGGTGAAATGTTTACCTTTTGTAAAAATACTCACCTATTTATGTGTAACAGGCTGAATTACTTCTTTGCGTATTGTAATTTCTATAGGTTTTATGTTCCAAATAATTAATGCAAGAAAATATTTCTAATAAAGGATTTATTCCCTATGCAGGCCTTATAGATATTTCAACTGATCCTGACTACAAAGGGATCTATAGTACTGATTTATTCCTTGATCCATCATATGATCCCAACAACTGTGAGGAGATGAAGTTATTTATGCAATATGTGAACAACCTTTTACTGCAAATCAACCCCAATATTACCTATGTAAGGCAGCACCAAAATGTGTTCATGTACGATGCAGCTTACAGCCTTAGTAATGCAGTAAGACTTACAGAAGAAGAAATTGATCTGGTGGCCTACCAGAGATTACAGCAGAGACTGATTCTCCAGCAGAAACTTGTTGAGAAGTACCTGGAGAGGAAAGCAGAGATTCACAGAAACATTGCCTACCTCAAACTAATTGCCTTTCTTATACCTTTCCTTATTGCATTGAGGGGGAAGAAGAAAGTTCCAGATCTGAGCAGACTCCTGCCTCCATTTTCTGGTAAAGATTGCTCTTTGTAGCAGCTTGTTTGGTAACTTTTGCAAACTTATGTATGATATTAGAGATAGAAGTAGACATAATTAATATACCTGGACCATAGCTGAATTTACTTCTTTGAAGGTATCCATTGTTCCGTTCCTGTTTTTCTGTCAACCTCTTGTATCAGTCAACGCTGCCAACTCTGTTCTCAGGCTCCTGCCAATTGATTTTTCTCACTTTGGATTGTTGCGTGTTATTCTCCTCTATCAATCTGAATCTAATGATACAATGAACTCTGTCTCCTAAATGATTCCCAAAAGACACTTGATCCACTTGGCCCACTTCATTTCCAAGAATCAGGTTCAGCCATGCATTCCTTTTAGCTAGACTGAAAACATACTGCTGTAGGAAGCTCTCCTGCATGCAACCCAGAAACATTTGCCTCTCACTGACCTTACCATACAAGTATCCAATCTATGTTTAGATATTGAAGTCTTCCATTATAACTACTTTCTAATTTTGTGATCTATAAACCACACCTAACAATTTAATTGTACCTTTTTGTCCCTTTGTTTTAGCCAAATTTATTTTGAGCTTGGATCCTATGAGACATCCTTTTTTTCTTCAGCACTCCAATATCCTCCTTAACCAATACTGCTACCCCGCCTACTTTCCTTGCCTTTCTATCTTTTGAATACCTAAAACCCAGTCTTGCCCTTCCTTCAGCTACATTTCTGTTAACAAAATATCATAGTTTTGGGTCATGGTTGAGGTATTAAATGAATTCTTTGCATCTGTCTTTACCAAAGAAAGAGATGCTACCCAAAGTATAGTAACATGTCACACCATCAAAATTCCACATGGCAATCTCCACATTGTTAGTCCCCAGTCTTATTTACTGTACTCTACACATTCGCATACATGCACAGTAACCATGATTTAGGCCTCATTGTTTGCTTCCTTAGTCTGACTTCACCTAACTTGCTATTGTCAGTGCTAGTGCCAGTTGCAACTTTAAGTGTTTTGTGAATCCTGGTGTTCTGTACGATTCTCCCTCAGTTCCCACATGCCAAGTAAATTTTAGAGACTCCTTTAAACTCTAATTTGTTTCAGAGACCCTTCTATGTTGTGTATCTCTTGTTATTACAAAATTATAGATGGAGCTTACGTCCAGATCACCAAAATATGTGTTGAGGGAGAAACAGAGTTGACATGTCAGGTTGATTATTCCTTCTTCGAACTCCTCTATCTGAAAGTTAATTCTGTATTATTGAATATTTCATCTTGACAGGCATTGGTAATTCCCCAAGATGTTAATGTTTATCCTAAGTATATCTTCAAAAAGTCAAAGTAAAAATAAGTTTCAAATTTAAATAAGTTTATTTATTTATATATGTATAATATCTATTTTCACATGAAGCATTCCTGGTGCAATTGTCTTTTAATATTTCATCACTATCATTTTGGATCAAAGTCTTCCCAGCCTGGTAATTTCAGTGAAGAAGCACTGCCAGCTTCATTTACCTCAGTGTCCATAGGGAGTTGCTGACAGTTTGAGAAATAGGTCCACTGGGTTTTGAAAGGGATGTTAATGACCTAATATGAATAATTAAAGATCTTATCAAACAGCTAAACAGAGGTTTCCTATCATTTTGAATCTGTCTGGCTGAAACCTGGAAATGGGTGGGAAGATACCGAGGTCCAAGCATGATGTTACTTTTAGGGAATGTCAATCTCTGCACAGATCCAAACTCAACCCCACTTGACTGTTAAATGTCTGCCCTCATTAATGAGCCAGAAATGCAACAACATCATCTCCTGAGGGAAGACCAGGTACGTACAAGAATAGGAGTCGCAGTTAGTGTCAAAATTCATAGGGGACTGTAGTTTCAAAATAATTATAAGGGAAGTCCACTACCTACGCTAAGAAAGTTAAAGATAGTATCAAATTGGATGAAAAAGTGTACAATTCCACAAAAAGCAGTGACAGATCAGAATATTAAAAACAGCAAAGAAGGATTAAAGTACTAACAACGGGAAAGACATTAGAGTACATGAAAAAGCTAGCTAGAAATATCAGAACAGATAGTATGAGTTTCTACAGGTATTTATAAAGAAAATGAGCAAATTAAGTGGGTGTTGCTCCTTGAGAGAGAGAGATTCTGGGGAATCAATAATGAAACATTAGAAAATGCAAGATGAATTGAACAGAAATGATATGTTTCACTTCACTGTAGATGATGCAATAAAACTTCAGAAATAATGGTGCATCAAGAGTTGAAAAGTAGAGGGGATTTTAAAACATTTACAATTACCACAAAAAAGTATGAGAAAATTGTTAGCATTAAGCACAGAAGAGTTCCCAGGTCCTAGTAGGCTTTATCTTAGTATCTTGAAAGAAATGGCTGCTGAAATAGTACATACATTGATTTTAATTTCCCAGATTCCTGAGTTTCTGGAAATGTCCGATTGGATTGGGAAGCAGTGAATGTAGCTCTTCTATTTCAACAAAGGCGTGGGGGAGATAGAAATAAGGAAACTCTTATTTCTTCATGTAATATGGATGTTACTGGGTAGGCCAGCATTTGTTGCCATATCTAATTGCCCTTGAAAAGTTTGTGATGAGCTTTTATGAAGGGATTTCCAGGAATTTAATCCTGCAATTTTGAAGGAACACTGACATAGTTCCAATCCAGAGTGGTATTTGGCTTTGAGGGGAACGTGCAGTAATGATGTTCCCAATCATCTGTTGTCCTTGTCCTTTTAGGTGAGAGAGGTAATGAATGTGGAAGGTATGTTGACGAAGCCTTGGTGAGTAGCTGCAGTGCATCTTCTAGATGGTACACACTGCTGCTACTCTATTTTGGTAGATGGAGTGAATATGGAAGTTGGTGGATGAGGTGCCAAGATTTGTATCTTCCAGATGCTCGACAGACACTGGTAAGACAGGAAGTGAGGTATTCATCACAGAATTCCTCACATTTGACTTCCTTGATGGCCACAGCATTTATATGTTTGGTCCCAGTTCAGTTTCTGGTCCATGGTGACACCCAAGATGTTGATAGTGGGGGATTCAGTGATGGTAATGCCATTTGGTGTCAAAGGAAGATAATTATATGCTCTCTTGTTGAAGAACACTATTACCTGGATCTTGTATGGTGCTTACTTGACACTTATCAGCCCAAATTTCAATATTGTCCAGATCTAGCTGCATATGGACATAAACTGCTTTAGTGAATGAAGAGTGACAAATTGTGCTAAGCGTTATGCGCTGAAAAGAAAACAAACAAACATCCCTACTTCTAATCTTATTATGGAGGGAAGTGCATTGATGAAGCAGTTGAAAATGTTTGCACCTAGGCCACTACCCTGCAGAATGCCTACCATGACAACGCGGACTATAATGGATCATCTCTAACAACCACAACCATCTTTCTTTGTACTAGGTAATGACTACGACTAGTGAGAATTTTCCTTCTGATTCGCATCGACTTCAGTTTTGTTAAGATTCCTAAATGTCATATTTAATCATTTGCTGTCTTGATGTCAAGGACAATCATTCTCACCTTACCTCTGGACTTCAGTTCTTTTGTCAATGTTTGAACCAAGACTATAAAAAATTCAGGATCTGAGTGACTTTGGCAGTACCCAAACTGAGTGCCAGTGATAGCATTGTTGACAACCACATCTGTCACTCGAGAGTAAACTCGTCCTCACACTCAACAACTTCTCTTTCAATTCCTCCCACTTTCTACAGACAAAGGGGGTAGCCATGGGTACCCACATGGGCCCAAGCTACGCCTGCCTCTTT